GAATCTGGTGAGATTTTGTTTGTCCAGTGACAATGTGGGGGCGTGGGGTATGGAGCATGCTCACAAAGGTTCTTTAATTAAAGAAAGACAGCTCTTACTTCCAACAATTGTGGACAAAATGTTACTTGAATCAGTGATTTAAAAATCACTCATTCATGTCATTTAAGTGCATTGTTTTGTAAGTCCCCTGACTGTTAAAAATCTTGTCACGCACAAAATCCCCCATGGGGATTTTCAAAAGTTGGCAGGTCTATATCTGATATGTATGTTACATGTTTCAAAGGGGCAATAAACATCCTTTGTTTTGTTGAAATGTACATGTATACAAGTTCTATTGATACTATTATTGTCTTTATGTATACTAAACTATACTATAGAAAGATATACATGATATAACAGTTCATAGTTTGCTAATCATGCATAGTACACCTATGTTATTACAGAAAAAATATGCCTGTAATAACCAAAAGGTGTTCTCTACATCACTTCAAAGCCTTTGCTCAGACATACATGACATATACCCGAAATAATGATCAGAGCATGTAATGAGGTTCTGCACAAGCTTCCAAGTAATTCCCAGGTGTCTCACATAATAAGTTACATGCCTATAATAACTAAGCCTTGTTATTACAGCTAAGTTTATTCCTTAAAAGCCTTGTCTTGTTGATTTACATGTACCATGGTTGATAAAAATGTATTAAATTAATTGGAAAATTAGTTATCAAGGCTATGTATTAAGTTAACGTTACTGCGCAAGGTTTCAACTTCAAGAATTCCCAAGTGCCCACTAAAAATTAAAATATTGATGATTTATTTAACAAATAACAAACATACATGTATGTTACTACAGATTAAGAAAATTTAAGGAATAAAGAGTAGACAACTCATGAAAGTATCTTTTATATAACACATGTATGATATTTTCTCTAATAACCCTATAGAGTTATACCCTTGACTGTATATCATGTAAAGTGATGGTACCCAAAATTGCACCTATTTTAACAGTTTTATTCACCTAGGTTTACTTTAGATCCAGACAAAAGTTTCATTTCTGTGTTTATTTTATTTTTAGATTTATATCTATCCTTAATTATTATATAGTTTCACAATTTGACAAAGTTAATTTTGAATCCACACTGAATCATAGAAAAATGGGTTTGAGCCGACCTCCAACATGTCCAAACGACCCTAGATTCTGTAATGCGGCATGGTTCTAATTAAGGATTTATGAAGGTGAGTCCAGGGACTCCTCATTTCTGGCCATGGCGAGTATATATATCATTATTATTTCAGTCCCCATGACAAAATAGGGCAAGGAAATTACATCAAGTTTAGATTATTTTTAATCTTTTGTCATTGAATGATGATTTGTGTGCTCAGTTCAAACAACATTTTATAATCTTGATGCATCTTAGCACTCACCAGTTTTGAAAATGATGAGTCCAGACAGATTATTATGAGTCCAGGATTCATGGACTCTTACTTTTAGCATGTTTAGTGAGAACCCTGATGAGGAGTACCTAAATTGCGTCCATTATGCTTAAATTTACATCAGACAAATTTGAATAACTGATGTTCTGCTTTGACATTAGTCCATGCTTGATTGGTGTTCATATTGTAAGAAATGGATGTCTCAGACATATTTTAAGGTTCATCATAACCTTTAAGCAAATATGGCAAAATTTACATCTCAAATTTTATTCTGAGTACAGACAAACCTGTGCACCTGGTTAAGTTTTAAGGCATGTCTGGATTTCAGAAAATAATAAACGTTTACCGGTATGGATTTTGAGATTCCTTTTTTTTCGTTCCTACAGAAGGTGCCAAAATAAACTAAGTTTGGAAAATGTTTGAGATGTTCCCCTTTGTAATAATATAAGCTAAGTGAGTTGTTAAAATTGACACAGACAATAGATGGGCCATAGATACCTGCACAACAATAGGTCATTTAAACAGTGTAATTGAGTGGACTGTATCAAATAAAACTCAGGAGTTTGTTTATTTTGTCACTCCTGTCATGCCTGTGGAAACGAAAAATAAAGGAATCTCAAAATTAAAGTAAGCCTAAAGTTATACATTTTCTGAAACATAAAATGCATTTGAATTGTAATTATCTAGTTCCTGCCATGCCTTAAAACTTTACCAGATGCACAGGTTTGTCTGTACTCAGAGTAAATTTTGTGGTGTAAAGACGGCCATATTTTTAAATTCCTTCTGGCATGGCATGCAACGTTTCCCTAAAAAAGTTTCTCAGAATCCTTCATCTGTTGATATATTGTGACTGTTTTGTGCATATTTAAATATATATTTAGCATGTTTAGCATGTTTAGCTATGTTGAAAGACGTGCATAATGGCAAATTATAAAAATACAAATTGTTTAATCTTTAAGAATGTAAACTTCAACTTGAAAAATGGTGAACCAACACCTGAAGTGGTTATCGTGCGGTTGGGTAATAGCGGGTGGATACCACGCGGTATTCACAGTTGTCTTTCACTATAAAAGCAAATAAACGACATTAAAGACAACAACACCCATCAATTACCGCATGGTGATTAATTTATTGTGGTCGACATGTTTCGCCAACAAGCGTGGCGTCTTCAGGACAATATTATACATGAAATCAAACAGTGAAGTTATGATCGCCGCAATTTTGGGAATTGTAAATCTTGGTAGATGTGTTCATAAAAATTAACTTTGCTAATAAAATGTCCGTGGATGAAGCTTTTCTTTTGGGTTGTGGTTTATGTGGTTCATCTTGGTTCTGGTTCCTTCCTTTTTTCTCTAAGTAAAATGCCTGGTATTCCGAATTACTTTGACTTTGTGTACTCATGTATGGTATGTAAATCTTCAGTGATGGACTGCTTCTTCTTTATATGTTTCTGTGGTTGCTTCTGTTTCCAAATCTCTCCTTATTTTTTCCTCGTATCTGGTAATTTTCGGGAGCGGATCGAGAAATTTTTAAATGGTCCGGTATTTCGTTCATGCTGTGTGGTTGTTAGGTACAACGCTAGTTTGGCAAAGGTGGATCCTCTCGGATGCAGGGGTTCACAGTAAAAAAGTAAACTTCAACTTGAAAAATGGTGAACCAACACCTGAAGTGGTTATCGTGCGGTTGGGTAATAGCCACTTCAGGTGTTGGTTCACCATTTTTCAAGCAGTACCTCCCTCGGAGCGAAGCCAGTTGAATTGGTACAGGATGGCCAATGGGGTGTTGTCCAATTTGGAAATGAACTGACATTTTATGAGCTACTTCCATCATTTCTACAATATTACCACTAGAAACTTCTATGAGGACCACTACACAGACGTGCAAGAATAGCCGATAACCACATCGTTAATAACTTTATTGGCTAACTTTCTCTTTTAACTATACTAGATTCTTATTTTACTTTCACTTTCACTTTCTATATATATCCATAACGTCGTCATAACAACCTCTATTGTTCGGCGAACCACACAACCGCAAAATTTGTACTTCACTGTTTGATTTCATGTATAATATTGTCCTGAAGACGCCACGCTTGTTGGCGAAACATGTCGACCACAATAAATTAATCACCATGCGGTAATTGATGGGTGTTGTTGTCTTTAATGTCGTTTATTTAAGAATGTAAGAAAACTTGTAAGACTTGCGCTGCTTTTTTTGCAAAATAGGTGCAATTTGGGTACTGTGATATTGTATAAAAAATACTTACAGATGTAATACCACCAAATCATGGTAAGTTACATCCACTTTCATATGATAAAGGGTAGAAAAAATATTCCCTTTAATTTGACAGTTGTAGGAAATTAACCATACATTTCATTGCAGAAAAAAATTCTGAGTCATAAACATATACCTTCCAACATGTCCAAGGGTGATTCAAATTTAAAGAACCATTGCTTTTTTTTATTTGGTGTTTCTTTGAAATATTTTGGAAACTTGAGTTGACATAGTTACTGAAGCTTAATTGTAAACAGGAAAAAAGGGTTGAAAATTTGATTGGTTAACTTCCAGTGACGGTTATTATCTTATCTGCTTATAATTATATGCAATGAAATTTTGACTGTAGCACTGGAGAGAATAAAACTCATGCCAAGTATTTTTATGCCCCCGCCGTAGCAGAGGGGGCATTAAGTTTTACCCTTGTCCGTCTACGTTTGTATGTCCCGAAATTGGTTTGCATTCTCTAACTTTAGTTTGCCTCAACCAAATGTTATGAAATTTATACACAATGCTTATTACCACAAAACACAAGTTTGAATTTTGGTGGGCCCCGTGGCATCACTTTTATCTTTCTAGAGTTATGCCCCTTTACAAATGGTTTTTCGTTTCCATTCTCTAACTTAATTTTGCCTCAACCAAACGTTATGAATCTTATACACAATGCTTATTACTACAAAACTCAGATCAAGTACACATTTGGGTAGGGTCACTTTTACGGTTCTTGAATTATGTCCCTTTATAACATTATACATGTTATATGCAAGCAGGGGCATCATCTGTGTCCCATTGACACATTCCCCATTAATTTTATTTGAAACAAAAATGAATTCTGTGCAATATAATTTTTAAAAATGAGCATGCCAATTTATTCAAAGACTTGTAGGAAAAAAAATGGTGGTTACTGGTATTACTCCTACAAGGGATAAATAATGATAAAAGTGATAAACATGACGTATATCTGACGCAGTTAAGAAGGATAATGAATTTTATGAATACATGTAATAGCATATGTGGAGGAAAGATAATGCAGTTTATATACATTGTAGATGATTGATTTATGTCGATTATGATATTATTATTAGAAGTAGTCAATACTTCTAAACCTTTAAACATCATGAACAAGGATGAATACATATATATGAAATGAATATTTCTAAAAAAATAAAAGAAATAATAAACATATATGGCAAGCCAACCAAAGAGGCTAGGATAGTCATAAAAAGTGTTTAATTTCTGAATTTTTCTTCTTGTATAATTCTAGTTTATATACTTATTCTGCATTTTAATTTCAGAGTGGGTCTTCATCTCATTTGAACAGCCTACCATCAGATTTTTCTGATGTTCAACCCAAGACATATGACCCAAATTTCATCTCCCAAATTAGCAGTAGAATGCAGATTCCAGACAGGCTAAATGCTGTTGAGGGAGCTCCTGATTCAAGGCAGTATAATTATCCCACTCAGATGGCTGCTGTCAGTATGCAGGTTCCTGACACTATTAGTTTACATGGTAGGAAGTTTGATAAAGTTCACAGAAATTACATGTGTCTACAAATATTAAGGCACCACTCTAGTCTTTTAATATGCATGCGCAGTAGCACTAGAAATACTTATGGCTTTAAATACTTATAAAATAACTAATTGAAGAATTCAAATATAGAAAAATGTTCAATGATTGACCGAACAATGCATTAAATTAGTTTTGTTCGGTCACAAGTTGAATATTTTTTGATATTTGAATTCTTTAATGAGTTATACTTTTTATTACATTGACAGTGGGCTTTTTAATGAAAATAAAGTAGAAATTACAAGGAACTATATATATTTTCTTTGCTAACTCATTTCATATTTTGTTGTATGATGTCAGCGGAGTAAAATTTTCAGATTTATTTTCGTTTGAATATTATGTAGCTGGGAAATCACGACATTTCATATTCATGTCAATATACATGACATATATATATATATATATAAATCATGTAGATCTATGAAAACTGTTATAAGAAATCAAAATTTATGTACATGTATACTGTAAAAAATGATTTAATTATAACTCATCATTTTTCCTTATGTTTATTTGAATGTGATTTTGTGTGTATAATGTTTAATGGACCATATTACATATATGTTTGTTATAATACCAGTATAAAGGAGAAAGTAAACACCTCAGCTTTTTAACTCACCCTGGTTCTACAGATAATTTCTTGGAAACTAAGATAGATTATATAGAACATAGAAAAAAAATTATCAGCTAGATAAGAGATCTACAAATAAGCAACAAAATTGAGAATGGAAACGGGGAAAGTGTCAAAGAGACAACAACCTGACCAAAGAGCAGAAAACAGCCCAAGGCCACGAATGGGTCTTCAACACAGCGAGAAAATCCCGCACCCAGAGGCAAACACATATCAGTATATAACTAATTGCAACAAATGAGAAAATAGATATCAAAACGCAGGCTAAAAAATGTCAAACCCCTAATCTGTATGATGTCATGTCATAGATATCAGTCACAGTTGCAAAGACTTTATCAAACCCCTAATCTATATTCATTTCATGTGAAAAACATCCACTTGAATTATAAGATAAAGTGTATATGAACATGATGAAATGCCTTTATCAATATAACACACTATATCAACCTGAGACACCAATATATTCCCAAGAGCTCTGCTCTGCTTACAAGCTAAGTATACTATAAGATATACATATATGCCTGATATATATACATTGGTTGTTTTTTATCAAGAATTCAGCTTGAAGTTTACATTACTTTGAAATTAAATTTGTCTTTCAGGAAATACTCCAGGTCGTGACAAGTTAGAAAGATTTGATTTTGGAGGAAGAGGAGATATGAATTATGTAGGACTACTAACGCCACCTAGGACACTCACAATGGAAGAAGCTTTTCCAGAAAATTCAATGACAGACAATGCTGAGGAAACTGTTCAAAGACCTACACATACTTCTTTACCCAATGGGTAGGTATAAAATTTATCTGGCTTTAACTGATATGTTTCAGGTATTCACATTTATGAACCATCTTCATTTTCTATTACTTTTTTGTTTTCGATGGTCTAATTGTTGCATGCTTGTTTCAAGAGAGGTCGGGGTTCTTTGCCAGCTAGGTCAAGTATAAGACTATAGATTTTTTGGATTTTTTATATGCCCGTCAAAATTTTGACGGGACGTACTATGGTATACAAATGTCGTCTGTCCGTCTATACGTCTGTCTGTCCGGCGTAAACATGTCGCACCGTAACTTGAGAATGACTTATCCAAATTTCATGAAACTTAAGATAGTTGTTTCTTATGATGGTCAGACGATCTGTATACTTTTTGGTGAAAATAAGATTAAAACTTTTTGAGTTACGGGACTTAGTAACTAAAACAGGTGTGTGTTTTTTTTCATATGTCACGCCGTATCTCAGAAACAATTTATGGTTATTGCTTAAAACTTTACACACTTCTTAGTTATATTAATATTAAGATCTGTATACTTTTTGATGATGATTCAAAATTTTATTTTTGAGTTTGAGTTTTATGTTAAAAAAGGGGAGGGGTTTTTCACATGTCACGCCTTATCTCAAAAACAGTTTATGATTATTGCTTAAAGCGTTACACACTTCTTAGTTATATTAATCTAAAGATCTTCATACTTTTTGGTTTTGATTCAAAATTTTATTTTTGAGATATTGATTTTTTTTTTTTAAAAAGGGGGGTTTTCACATGTCGCGCCGTATCTCAAAAACGATTTTATGATTATTGCTTAAAATTTTACACACTTCTTAGTTATATGAATCTAAAGATCTGTATACTTTTTGGTTTTGATTCAAAATTTTATTTTAGAGATATTGAGTTTTTGGTAAAAAAAAAAGGGGGTTTTCGCATGTCAGGCCGTATGTCAGAAACTATTTATGATTATTGCATAAAAATTCACACATAAGACGACACACGTATCATGCGCTCATGGCACAGCTGTTTATTTCTTTCTACACAGCAGTTTGGAGTAAGAGAAAAGACACAGAGCTTTCTAAAAGAGGTGGAAGGCTGCTTCTTTTCGCCTTCTTCTTTTTACCTCAGCCACAGGGACCAAATTTACTTAAGCAAGCAAAACAAGAGAACAGCTGCCTACTTTTAATTTTGAAGTTCCTTACTTCATAAACTTTGAAAGCTGTAGAGACTGTTTGTTTCTAAGTCAGATTCTAACTTGATGTTCTTCAAACGCTTTGAGTACACACCCGTGGTAAAATATGAATATATTGTTTGGGCTGTTCCGATCGTACTCCCGCGTCATATACTTTTTTATGAATGAGCTACCCGACATCATAGAACGATGACGTAAGAATATAAGCATTTTACGGGAAAATACACGCTTGTGAAACCGAAAATCATCACAACAAGGAAACGTAAACAAACAATGCTAAAATGTGTTATAATCCAATTTTTTTATACATATTAGATATATGGGTAAAGCCATAAAGGTGGTCTGGAAAGTGTGACATTAGGATATAAAATTGAAGTTTTTGATATCTCTATCAATTCACATTATTTTGTTAGCAACCATCTGTATCTTACTACCTCTTTTTATTTGAAATCCATGGTCTTGCTATGTTTTTGTAAAATTGACCTTCCTTGTATATTTTGTGTAAGTTATATTGACAATAGTGCAATCTTTTGTTTTAAATAGTTTCTTATGGGATTAATGAAATGTATCAATACTTAGCTGCACATAATATCTTTCAACATCACTATATCATAGACCAATTCACAGAGATATCCCTGATGTTCTGAAATGTCAGTGCTCTGAGCAAGATCAGTATGTTATAGATGTCCAAAATAAAGTTTTCTTCTGGTAACTTGTGTAAAACGTTTTTTGAACAGTAATTATATTTATAAACATAATTATTATATTTCAAATGAAATATTTTATGTAGTTGTTGTAAACCCAGATCTTCGTTGACATAATTAAATCCAAATTCAATGTAATACTATGTTATTTTGACAATAACCCTTTTTGATAGTTTTTCTGCCTTAATTTTAAAACAGGCCACTCAAAAAACAGGGGGGCAACACTAGCTGATTTTTTAAGTAGGGGAAAACTTATCCAATACAGCTTAATCTTCTAAATGAAGAAGATGACTATAAATCTTGTATACCATATCTTACATGTAGGTTATATTGACGAATAGTGTTTAAATTTAACCTTTTTCAAAATCATTTGTATTAAAGATTTTTTTTCTACTATTGTCTAGGTAACTGATGGTTATTTTTCATTTTACCAAATTATGATTGAATGCTTATATTGCTCACAACACTACCGTCTTTTGGTTGTTATATTGACACAATGTCAAGTAACTTACTGAAATAAAACAGGAAATCTGGTGTAACATCTGAACACAAAGAGTTTGATCCATTATGTTTATTTTGATATAAACTTAATTCTTGAATGCATGCAGGGGTTCATGTTCATTATTGTTCAGCTAATAATGAAGTCACAAGCTCATAACCAAAACTATCTGCAGAGATCTATCAGATCAAAGTGACAACTATAGAATGCAAGAAAAATAAAGGTGCACTAATTCACAAATCCAAAAGGGAGAGGAGAAATCAAGATAAATAACAAGAAAAGAACAAACCTTAAATAACAACTCAAACCCAATAAATAAGCTTTATTTTAGAGTCGGCAAGGTATACAAACAGAGACAACATAAGCTCTAATGAGCTTTTAACCGACATACTTTTAACCCAATAAAACTATCCGGTGCACTGCAAGAGTTAGCTTAGCCTGATGGTAAACAGACACTTAATGAGTTACTCACAGTATTGTGGGGAACATATTGTTTACTGTTGGTATTTAGGAGTATTGTTAATTAGGCTCACTCAGTCAGAGCTCTGACATAAACAAGTCAGAATAAAATGACTTCTTCAAGTCAGAAAGTGTTTTGAAATTCTGACCTGTACGCGTCAATTTTTGTTTTGCGTAGTTTTCACTCGAGTCCGTCAAACCAGAAGTTATTTTGAATTTGCCGCCGATCTACGACACATACGATCACGTGGTTTTTTGCAAGAGATCACGTGTTTGAGAGTCGTTGTTTTGGAAGTGTCTCGAACGAGAAGTCATTGAATATTATATTGATTATTTACGATTTTTAGTGAAAATCTAGGTCATTGTGGGCATTTTTAGAAAGGTAATTCATATTACCTCCGTATTTTCATGGGCATTTTTATATTTTTTGCCTATAAAGAAGTTCCTTGCAAGTGATTTTTTTGCTGTTTCATGAAGGCGCGCGTCCTGTAAATACGGACGCGTGGTCTTTTAGATGACCTGGTGTTTGACAATTCTGACTTGTTCAGGTCAGAAAATGTTGTTATGATAATGAATTGTTATTTTCGGGAGATAACTCGTGTTGTCTTAAACAATATTAACATTATTAACCAGTCAGTGCAATTTAAAAAGTAAAATTATTGCTTCGAGCTGAACATCGTCACGTGATTTTTCTATTTTTAAACTCAATCACGAACTGATTTTTTAACCTTTCTGATTCGTTTCTCCCTATGAGAAAAACGATCATTGTGAATATTGATATGATGATAATGAAACGAAAATGGGAAAAATTTTAATAAAAGAAAAACGAAGGGAGGGGTTTAACTAAAGAACCCAAGGGTTTTTTTTTTTATTTTTAAAGTTAATAACTTGAGAACAATAAGTGATGCACACACCTGGTCTTCATTTATGATCATGGGACATGATAAAACAAATCAAATGAAATGTAGGGCAAGTCTCCAGGGATCACCCCTATCCTTGTCATTTCTCTATTCCTCTTTATAATGTCAAATTGATTTGAATGAAATATACCGGGCTAGTCTCCAGGTTTACCCCCACCCCCTGTCATTTGTAAATGTTCTTATATTTTGTTAACGGTAGAGATCCCCACCCCTAAACCATATATATTCTTGTATGGGACAATTTAACAAATCAAATGATATGTTGGGGAGGTCCCTGGGGGTCACTCCTACCCCTCCTGTTTGAAAACTTGTAAACGGTCGAGATCCCCACCCCTAAACCATATATTTTCTTGAATAGGACAATAAAACAAATCAAATGAAGTATAGGGGAAGTCCCTTGGGGTCACCCCCACCCCCTCCTGTGTGAAAACTTGTAAACAGTCGGGATCCCCACCCCTTAACCATATATATTCTTCTAAGGGTCAATAAGACAAATCAAATGAAATAAAGGTGGAGTCCCTGAGGGTCACCCCACCCCCTCATGTTTGAAAACTTGTAAACGGTCGAGATCCCCACCCCTACACCATATACCTTCTTGCACAGGACAATAAAACAAATCAAATGAAATATAGGGGAAGTCCATTGGGGTCATCCCCATCCCCCTTTTTGAAATGTTCTGGATCACCACCCCTAAAGGTAAACCATATGATATTCCTGTTCTTCATTTCAAGAAGATTTGAATGACATGCAGGGTCAAACCCTAGGCGTCACTTATGCATATCACTTTACTAGACAAAACCAATTTGTACTGGAACTTGCCCAATGTCAGGCAACCATGGGAATGACGAATTATGGGAGCTTAAATTTGTTTGGGAGACTTCGTAACAGCATCCTGTTACAATTATTTCTTGTTTATTTTAATCTGCTGAGAGACCACCTTTACATATTATATTTATCAGTGTTTGTGCAAACAGAATTGTCTATTCAGTATTATTTTCCTCTCACATGCATCACATCTTATTAATTACATGGATATAGGAAGATGTGGTATGAGTGCCAATGAGACAACTCTCCATCCAAGTTACAATTTATAAAAGTAAACCATTATAGGTCAAGGTACGGCCTTCAACATGGAGCATTGGCTCACACCGAACAGCAAGCTATAAAGGACCTCAAAAAATTACTAGTATAAAACCATTCAAACGGAAAAACCAACGGTCTAATCTATATGAAAAAAAAATTAAATTTTGGC